GCAGGAGAGACCGTGAGACTCCTATCTCCAATAAAAACCAACAGAAAACCGGAAGTGGCGCTGTAGCTCAAGTGGTAGAGCGCTTGCCTTGAGCTGAAGAGCTGAGGGACAGCGCCCAGGCCCAGAGTTCAAGCCCCACGACCGACAAAAAAAAAAAAAAGAAAGTAGAGAAACCTCTATCTGAAAAGGAGTTCGAGTCCAATGCAGTCCTTTCAGAGGGCAGTTTTTATAGTATGAAATTCCTTCCATCTCTTCCTCTATGCTTTGCCATGATTGCTTCATGGCTTGTACGTGCACACCTCAGCTCTTTTAATCATGCTGCGTTACAGGAAGAGAAATGTTTTGAGTAGGAAAACACATTTGAGCAGGAGTCCAAGGCACTATGAGAAGTAGAAATGCCATGATAGGCCATTTATCCAATACATATTATGTCCACCTAACAGTTCTCCTTTTACTTTTAGTGGCAGCAAGCAGCACTAGGGAAAGAGAGCTCCAAAGATAGCTTTCTCTTTAACAAAAAAAAAAAAACACCTCCCAGACAACTCATTAGTTCATTAGTCCATGAATAAGACAATCACCCCTCAAAAGTCCCAACTCCAATGCTATTAACATATGACCTTGGGGATGTTTCCAATACAACATTCTGAAACACATCTAGACTATGACACCATAGGTCTTGTTATTGGAGGCATAAAGGCTTAAAGCCAAGCTGAGTGCAGGTGGCTCAAGCCTGTAATCCTAGCTACTCAGGAGGCTGAGATCTGAGGATGGCGGTTCAAAGCCAGCCCAGGAAGGAAAGTCCATGCAACTCTTATCTCCAATAAAAACCACCAGAAAACCAAAAGGGGTGCTGTGGCTCAAGTGGTAGAGCACTAGCCTTGAGCTGAAGAGCTAAGGGACAGCGCCCAGGCCTAGAGTTCAAGCCCCGTGACTGACAAAAAAAAAAAAAAAAGGTTTAAAGCCTAAATTTTCTACTCTGATGCCTTTCCTCCTTGATGAGTTGAGTAACTGTAGGAAAATATGGTGGATATTTTTGGGGGGAGAGGTTTGTTTTGTTTTGTTGTTGTTTTGGCTTGGTTTTTGGATTTTTTGCGGGTCGTGGGGCCTGAACTCTGGGTCTGGGCGCTGTCCCTCAGCTCTTCAGCTCAAGGCTAGTGCTCTACCACTTGAGCCACAGCGCCACTTCCGGCTTTTTTCTTTTTGCTTATGTGGAGCTGAGGAATCGAACCCAGGGCCTCAGGCATGGAAGGCAAGCGCTCTACCACTGAGCCACCTTTCCGGCCCGTTTTGTTTGTCTGTTTTTGTTTTTTAATGTATGAAACAAGTTGAAGTAAAACAGATTCTCTCAAGGTCCTGTTTTTTGTTGTTGTTTGTTTTTTCGCACAACTATGAAGGAAACAGTATCCGTGTATGGCTACTTACCAAACTGAAGCTGACTAATTCTGATGTCCATGACATTCTGAGGTAATCCCTCTACGTGACCGGGCGCCTGAGAGAAGCTTTGTACCTAACGAAAATTCTGCCATAAAAGCCAGTGAACTCCAAGCTCAACGAGCTAAACTGCAAAGACACACACGCGTCTTTGATACTTCTCAGAGAAAGGAGAACTGTTACATAGGTAAGGATAAAAAGTGACGGACATACTATGGGCACACCATCACGGTGCCTCTTATTCCCATAGTGCCGCTAGCTCTCCCTCAAATGTTTCTTCTTCCCACAATGCTGTGGGTTCCCGCTCAAATGCTTTTTCATCCCATAATGCCCTCGGCATCAGCTCAACCAATGAAAAAGAACAGGGGTGGTCCTACACCGGGCATCACCCAATGAGCGCAAAACTAAGAGGAGGAGCTATGGAAGGAGCCCTGTACTACATAACGTTACCCTCCAAGAGGATTCCAGGGGATTCCTTTTCTTCCTTTTCTTCTTTTTTTTTTTTTTTGTTAAGAGGTTGAAGATTGGTATTCAACCTGGATACCTCATGTTTTCACGCATTCGTTAGTTCTCTACCAACTGAGCCACGCGTCCAGCCCCTTCTTTGGACTCCTTTAGTGGCACACTTCTGTATGGATAGAGAAACCAGCCCAGCTACTGTCATTCTTGGCTTTTTCCTTTCACTTTCAAATGAATTCACTCTGTTTACCTTAAACACTTTCTGGCCTTTATTTATTTTTCCCCTAATCATGGGGCTTTAACTCAGGGCACTGTCCCTGAGCTTCTTTTGGTCAAAGTTAGCAACCACTTGAGCCACAGCTCCACTTCCAGCTTTTTCTGTTTATGTGGTACTGAGGAATTGAACCCAGGGTTTCATGCATGCTAAGCAAGCACTCTCCCACTAAGCCACATTCCCTACTTCCAGCATTTTTGGTGGTTAATTGGAAATAAGAGTGTCATGAACTTTCCTGCTTGGGCTGGCTTCAAACGGTAATCCTCAGATCTCAGCCTCCTGAATAATGAAGATTACAACTCAAGCCATCAGCTTTTGGGTTGCCTTTTAATTCTGTAATGGGCAGAGAAACGAGTCTGTTCCCCTGGATGGCATCACTGCATCTGATTAAATATACTAAAATGGCTCAATTTTGACATACAGTAAACATCTGAGTAGAAAAATGAACAAAAATATTTGAAAAATACTAGATTTTAACAATTAGGTTTCAAATATTAGATTTATTGCCAGTGTTTATATCTCATGACATTTCAGTTCTTGAACTAAACAAATAATTACAATTGTATCATAACTTTCAATCTATGTGCCACTGACTACAAAAAAAAATATCGTTAGAAATTTGCCTGAACTGGTTGGGTTTACTCACAAGTTTTTACACCCCTACCTCAACACATCTTACAGGGAGAAAATTCTAAAGAAACTTCATAGAAGTCACAGTACCAATTTCTCCATCACACAGTTTCCAGAGATTTGGCTGTAAAAGTAACTAAAACTTTAAAAAAAAAAAATGTTTAATGTGTTTGCAACAAGTTAAGAAGCTGGATGCTGGTGATTCTTGCCTGCAATCCTAATTACTCAAGAGGCTGAGATCCGAGGATCATGGTTTAAAGCCAGCCTGGGTAGGAAAGTCTATTGGGACTTTTCAATTAATTAGCAAAATGCTGGAAGTGTGGAATATGGCTTAAGTGGAAGAGGGCCAGCCTTCCATGAAAAATGCTATGAGACAGTGCCCAAGCCCTGAGTTCAAGTCCCAGTAGCAACACAGTATCTCTTTTTCTGAGTGAGCCTGGGAGAGAGGAGGGGCTTACTTAGTGCCTCATGGTTTGAAGCCAGCCAGAGCAGAAAAGTCTGCGAGACTCTTCTCTCTCCAATTAGCCACCAAAAGGGTGAAAGTGGAGCTGTGGCTCAAGTGGTAGAACACTAGCTTAGAGGGAAAAGAGGAAAGAAAAAAGAAAAGAGCTCAGAGACAGCACCTAGGACCTGAATTCAACGCCCCCCCCACTACAGAAAGAAGAAAGAAAGAAAGAAAGAGAGAGAGAGAGAGAGAGAGGGAGGGAGGGAGGGAGAGAGGGAGGAAGAGGCGGGGAGGGAGGATGTAAGGGAGGGAGGGAGAGAAACTAGGATGCAATAGAAAATACTGTAAACGAGTGAATGCATTTCTTCTGCAAACAACACAAAATAGAGCAACAAAAAATAAACCACAAGGGAAAAAAGAGAGATATAAACAAACCTTTTTGGTAAGAATATTAAAGAAATCTTTCTGCTTGGTGACAAACTTAAAAGCAATTATGAAATGGATTAAATACTTCTTCAGAGGTTAAATGAATGCCTTGAGATCCTAATTTGAATATGCAACAAAAACACAAGGAACTTATTTAAGTCAGCAAAGGTTTAGAGTGCTTTTTAGAAAATTAATCCATTGTGTTCACTCTGGTGTAAATGTTCAGCATCTCCAAACTTCATAGCTCTACATATAAAATATTGTCCCCAAAATGAGTGAATGAAGCCATAAAGCAAAACTTCACCTATAAATCCAGAGATTCATAGTTACCATTGATATCTTCAGCTAATTCTTTCCATGTTAACCAGCCTCATCCCTCCAGATGTGGGTAAACAATGAACCCAAGCTCAGGAATATCTAGACAGAACTGGAGAGTGAAAAATCCAAACCAACATTCCATTCTGCAGTACACTTTATACCCAAAACTATGTATACAGGTGTACTTCCCTAACTTGCTAATGCTGCTGTAACAAAATACTAGAGACTAATTTAGTTTTTAAATGTTTCCTTCGTAATTCTGGAGACTAGAAAATCCAAAATCAAGGAACCAGCCAGTAAATGCCTGTGTTTCACAGATGTCTTCATCTAGATATCTGGTACTCCCCCCCACACACACACCTCTTCTCCGCCCCCCCCCCCCTCAACTATCTTCCCACAACCCTTTCATGAAGGTGGGACCTTGCTGCATTGTCACTTAACTCTAACAGAGCACTGGTCTAGAATGCAAGTTCAATTCCTGAGCATTACAAAAAAAAAAGCCAGACAAAAACTAGAATTAACCCTGTCCCCCACAAGTGGGATGAGAACAGTCTTCTGACTTAATTCCTTCCAAAGGCCTCACATGGGAAGATCACCACAGTGGGAATCAAGTGTCAATCTTGAATTTTGAAAGGAGCACTCTTACATCCCAACACACACCTTTTAACTAAATCTGCTAACACATAACAAAGCTAGGGCAATGCTTTGATTATTCTTTAAAATAATAAAATGTAGACGAATGGTGGGACAGAAGTATGATAGATGTGCTCATTGGCCAACAGGTACAGCTATAATTTGAGAGCAATCACAATTAGAAATAATGAGTTTTTCTTGAGTTACTCCACCTTTAAACTACAGTTCATTGAGTTATCCTTTGAAATTAGTCTAATGATTACTCTTCCTATGGGAATTCAGGAAATCTCATAATTTTTAGTTTTTACACATACGATATATTGTGTATATATATTTTTAAAAGTCATTACCATTTAAGAAACCACTCTGAAAAAAAAGGCGTGGTAAAAGTAGAAGTATGCATTTTATTCATTCCATCAGCTGAGAATTGTCCTATTGTATGAACACAGTATTATACAAAAAAAATCACAAAATGTTACAAAATTAAAAAGTACAAACTGCATTACTTAATAAATATGACTAAAAGTAGTTAAAGTGGCAATGAGATAGTCTTTCGGTTGGAAACATTGTTTGACCCAGCAAACCACACAAGCCCACACAAGCTCTGTTTATAGAGCTTTTTACGTAATATAGGATAATCCTATTTTGCCTTTTGGGAGAACTTAAAAAGAACAGATTAAGACAGTGTTCTCCTGCTATACAGTAACCGCCAAAGTTGGTATTAGTTTTCCAATCTCTTAGTTGAATCCACAAAGTTACATCAAGCAGGAGACTTGTCACAAGATCCTATATCACATCTTTCCTAACAAAATGACAAGCATAGTAAATAAAAACAATTTAGAGCACCAGACAATCTATTCTAAATACCACCCAGACAGAATCCTGGGTCTCCCATCAGCAAGTATCACACTCTCCTTCAAGTAAGACCTGGCATTATTATCCTTTACAGAAAAAAAAATTCTTTCCCCAGCCACCCCCCACCATCAGTATTTCTTTCTAAACACTGTCATTCTCTTTAAACATTTCTAGAAAAACAATTCTGCCTGTTTCATCAAAATGGAATGGGTCATTCATCTGGAAACACGAATGCAATACTCTCCACTTGGAATAATTATCTAAAAATTGTGAAATTCAAATTTTAACAAATAACTACTAAATCACAAATTGCTCAAAATAATATTTCATATAAAGCATTTCTCTGAATGTACGCTTAAAAGCTGTCAAACTGGAACACATCAGATGAAAGTTACACCGATTTTTTAAATGTTGTGCAAAAATACATTTTTATAGAAAATAGACTACAAGGAATGAACAGTTTCATACTGTGAGAAATCAGCTTGCAAATTAAGTAGTGTTCACTGTATACAGCAAATTATAAATAGCAGTAGAATCACCCAAAGCTATCATGAAACATCATTTAGGTGCCCAGCAACCTTCAGCTCTGAGAAAACACTTTAAAAAAGAAGGAAGATTAAGGCTTCACCCCTACTGTAAATCTACTAGGAAGTTTAAAGGTGCTATTACCCTGATTAGAGTTCAGGTGATTTCTCCAAACACAACTTAAGTACGCAATTTCCTGAGGACGTAAGGTTTTCAGACATTTCAAGAGCATGCATTTTGTTCGATGTACATTTTGGACAGGGATATGGCCATGGACTTGGCAAGTTCCTCGTCGCGTTTCCTTTGCACTTGAGTCTGTTTGCACCAAGTATCATACTCTGGGTTAGGATAGCAGTGATCAAAAACCGCATCGTAGTGTCCATTACTGAGCCAACTGAGCCAAATACTGGGCCTCAGGGAATCCTCGGGGCCCAGATAGTGAATCATGGTAGACACCGTGGGGCTCTCCAACCTCCCTCCCGTTGTTAAGTGAATATTGACGTTCAGCATCTGCCCCATGGCCAACAACTCGGGGTAGCCGGCCCATGCGCCGTCCTGGGCGGCGGCGATGATGAACTCCCCCACGTCGCCCTCGATCAGGGGGCTGAAGTGGTCGAGGTGGTCGGCAATGTGGTGCACCGTCTGCTCCCTCAGCTCTCGGTGCAGGCTCTGGTCCCCGTATACAGCCTTGCTGACAGCTCGGTACAGGCAGTTGCCGTCGGGGATGATGTGGAACCGGTATTTATTCCTCTCTCTTAGATACTTGTCCTGCTTCTCCACCTCGGCCAGGTACAGGGCGAGCTTCTCATCTCTAGGATCCGATCTGGCCACGACCACGGTCTCGGTGGCGCTGCTCGGGGCGGTCTCGCTGCCCCGCACCGGGGTCACCTCGGTCTCCGGGTCCTGTCGCTGGGCAGGGCCCGCGCTGGAAGGCCGATCGCTGCGATCACCGCCCCGTTCCCAACCCTGGCGGATCCTCTCTGCCCGGTGCTCTTCGACCCACAGTCCGGGGCGGGGTTCCGGGCTCCCCGAGGCCGCCGCAGGGCCTCGGTGCCGGGAGGCGGCCAGGGCCTGGCGGTGCTCGCTCAGTCGGAAGTTTCGATCGGGTCCCTCCCGGGCGGTGTCCGGGACGGCGGGCTCGGGACCCTCGGGCCTCAGCAGCTCCTCCAGGAGCCAGGCGGAGGAGCCCCGCCGCGGCGGCACTGGGGCCCGGGGTCCGGGGGCCAGCAGGAGGCAGCGGCCGCGCGGGGCGGCGCCGGTCGCGGCTCCGGGGGAGGGATCGGGGCCGGGCAGCAGGAGCCGGTCGGTGCCGAGGGCCCGCACGGTGATCTGCGCCGTGGACGTGTAGTGCGGCGGCAGCGGCGGCTTGCAGGACGCGCCCGCCGGGCCGGGGGTGGCGGCCGGACCGGGGGCTGCGGCCCCGGACACCACCTCGAAGCAGGAGGAGAAGGCGGGCATCTTGGCGGCGGGGGCGGCTTCGCGGGGCTCGGCGGCCGCGGCGGGCGGGCACTCACCAGTCTCGGGTTCCGGGGCTCCGCCGGAGGGTCCCGGAGGCTGCAGGGAGACTTTGAAGGGCGCGGCGGCGGGGGGCGCAGGGGCGGCGGCCGTGGGACCCGGTGCCCCCGCTGGGTAGTGGGTGCAGACGCTGCTGAAGAGCTGCATGTCCCCGCCCGCCGCGCGGCCCCTTATAGGCGCGGCGAGCCCCGGGGCCCCGACACACCCTCCGGGCCGAGAGGAGGGGGCCGGCCGAGCACGGTGATCCCGAGTCCCCGGAATAGAAATGACCCAAGGGCCGCCGGCCGCCGCGCGTCAGGAGCCGCAAATAGCGCCCGGGTCCCGGCCAAATTCCTGCTGCGCCACAGCGCGCGGCGGGGGCGGGGAGGGAACACGCGCTCGACCCCGGCCGGCGCGATCGGCCCGCAGGCCCGGGGCACCGCGCCCGCTGCGGCGGGTCTGGCCGCGGCGACCGCTGGGGACCGCTGGAGAGAGGCGCTCGCGCTGCTGGAGCGCGTCCCGCCGGCGAGCAGGAGTGGCAGGGCGCGCGGCGGGGCCGGGAGGCGGGGCCGCCGTTGTTTACCTCAGCCCGCGCGGCCGCGTCACGTGGGCCCGTTGGAATGTGCGGCTCGTCTCCGTGCTCCATTCACCAGCGCGAGGCCGCCCCGCCCCCTCCGGCCGAGCCCCGCCCCCTCCGGCCAGAGCCCCGCCCCCAGCCCTCGCTCCGCCCTGTGTGGGGGACGTCATGGGCGTGTTTTTCCCCCTCCCCCACCCCGGGAGATCGAGCAGGCGGGGCTGGGCGGAGGCCTGGCGCGGAGCAGCGGCGGGGCTAAGAAGCATGCGCGGTGCTGGATTGGTGGGCTCGCTGAACCACGTGATTCGTAAAGTCCGCTTCCTGTACCTGAATGACAAGTTTTGGGGCTGGGCTGCTGTGGATCGCTTCCCACAGCTAGGGTGGGAACCGCCCAGCTTGGATAAGCGGGAATGCTTGCAAAACTTGCGTGTATAAGAAAGCTCCTGAGCTTCGATGGGAGATGGCACTCTGCCTTCGCGTGGTCGTGGCCACCGTACCTGCTTGCATTCACCACTCCTCTTTCTTTTTAAATAATTTCTATTGTCATTATAAAGGTGATGTACAGGGGGGCTACAGTTACATAAGTTACATAAAGAATGTGTTCCTTTTGAACAACTTCACCCTTTCCCTGCTGTTTCCCAATTTTTCCTTCCTGTCCCCACCCACAAATTGCATAGTTCATTTTCAACATAGTGTCTGGTTAATACCACTGCTGCATTTGTTTACAACTCCCTCCATTTCTATGCCCACTCCCCCTTACCCTCCCAAGGACAGATAAATGAACAAACAAAAGAAAAAAGAAAAGAAAGCAAAAACTGTTAGGCTCCATCACGATTATGCCAGGGGACCACGCGGAGGAATGCAGGCACAGGAGAAAGATTATTAGGTTTATTAGAGGGGCCGTATATCCCCCTGAAGAGGGAGCAATGTGGCGTCTGCCCCCATCCAGATGGGTAGTTCTGGAGCAAGTGGGGTGGGCAGGTAGGTCTAGGGGGAAGAGAGGGCAGAAACTCTAGGAAGGAGCTCAGGTCTGGGTGGAGCTGAAGAACAGAGGTAGAAATAATGCTAACATTAACAGTAATAAAGTAACAAACCTCTTTTTCCATTTCCTGTTTCACTAAATTTATTTTATATGATGAGACACTCGTTTCCTTTGGGTCCACATTTTTAGGTCATGTCTGCTCCAGAGTCTTGCTGAAGCAGAAGACAACATTCCTGAACCCCTAACTCATGTCACCTGGGTAATGAATGCACCAACGAAAGGAAGGAAACCTTTTGGATAGCTTTTTTTCAATACCAAACATAGTTCAGGCTTCTGAAAATGAGTGCTGCTACTTTGCATCCAAGAGATGCAGGAAAGAAGGAAGAAGAGGGAAGTGGCCTGCATCCTGGGGCTGGGCAGAAAGTGGAAAACTATTGGTCAACATTTGCAGTATTATCACCCTTTGTAAAGGAGACCTAAAATATTCATCCAATTGACCATGCATGGACTTAGACTGACAAGTGATTTTTTTGCTGCCTTTTGAGCTGTGATCAAATGCTAATTTCAAGTTAGGCTGGAGTATAAATTCCATGACTGCCAAGACTGTCTTGTTCTTTATTGTAGTTTTATCTGCTAGCACAGTTCCTGGTAACACAGATAAGTATTCAATGAGTGAATACATGGAAAACAATTTCCTAAGGTTTTTTCCTGGCTTTCTGCTAGCCTGGGACTCTTAATTACAGCGGGAGCTGTATGCCCTGATCACTGAACCCTTGCTACGTAAATTAATTCTGCAGGTAAAGGACTATCTGTCTAACCATCTCTCCAGGGTAACTTGTTACTCCCTGGGCTAACTAAAAACAGGAATGATTTAGGTGCTGACCAGGGTGGGGTGGATTTCCTATTCTCCGCACATAATACACCTCACACTAAAGTGAGAATTTGTGTAACTGGGGTTCTGAATCAACAAAATACTATTCGCAGTTAGATAATCCTAAAATAATATTTACTGAGTATCTATTTACCAGGTAGTATGTGCCTGGCAGGACTAAGTAGAATAACAAGGACTGGGGAGAGAGATAAGGAAAATACAAACATTTCAATCTTAAAGCAAGAATGTGATTTCACAAGTAGAGGAAAGCACAGGAAAACAAAATCACCAGATTTGCAGTGAACAGGCTGTGAAACTGTAGAGCCAAATAAGAAATAAAGATGTGAAGATTTAAAACTTGAACATACATAGGACATTTTTTATTTAGTTTATGCGAAACTTCAGGACTGGTAATGTAGCTCAAGTGGTAAATCACCTGCCTACCAAGCACTAGGCCTGAATTCACTCTAGTGAATTACTTATGAAGGAATTACTTGTGAATTACTAGTGAAGGAAGGGGAGAGGAAAAACAAAAACAGCAACAGAAATGTATATACACCCAAGTGGAATGGATGTCCACTTGACATCTCAATCACAATCATGAAGGTCTTCCTGGAGAAGGTGGTTCTGTTAGTGTACACAGGTAGGTACACTGTGAACCCAGCTGGTCCACACCCTGGGCCAATGATAATGAATGACCTTCTAAGCTCCTCCTGGGTGACCAGTTCCATATTCAGGTCAGGCATTCCACTTAAGGGCTCAGTGACTAACCAATGACCTTCTACTAGCAAGGGAAAGAGGAGGAATGAGTCTTAACACATCCAGGAGGCTACTGTGCAGTCATCATACCATTCCATTTGGAGAGGGGTTACAGGGGAGGGCTTAATCACCTAGTAACACCACCCTATGGAATAAAACCCCAAGCCCCAACTGAAGCTGTAGGGTCATTATCCGATTTCCTACCTTATTCTTGGAGGTCTATTCCACTGTTCTATACATTGTTCTACCTTTTATTGTTTTTGGCTTGTACCAGGGTTTGAACTGGGGTCTCACATTTGCTATATTTACTTGCCACAGCTGGTATTCTCACTTGAACTTTGCCTTTAAATCTGCATTTTGCCAGCTATTTTGGAGATCAAGTCTCACAGACTTTTCTGCCTAGGTTGACTTTGAACTGCAGTCCTGCAAACAGCCTCCTGAGTAGCTAGGATCATAGGCATGAGACAGGAGACAGTGACAACCCATTCCTAAATCACTATTCTTCCACTCTTCCTGGTTCTGTCCTTGTACTGAGGGAGTGTTCTATGAACCAAAAACCAATGAGATCACTGATGACCAGTAATCAATTTTCAGATTAATTAAAGCTGGGCTCATTGAATTTGCAGGTGGCCTTGGATTAAGTCCCAGACACACACACACACACACACACACACACACACACACACACACACACACACACACATAGAGTATTCCTTTATAACTCATTTATATCTGAATATTGCAAGCTGATTCACTGAAGTTTTACTAGGGCATTGGGAATCTGCAGGATGAAACATTTCTAAATGAGTGGCTTTATCTATGCATGGATACTTAAGCAATGATTGAAAAAAAATAATGTCAAGCATAACTTAAAAGATAGAGAATCCAGCCAAGCTTCCTCAAACAGCTTCTGTAATAGAAGAAAAATAAAATCAAGAGCTAGAGATGGGGTGGGGAGAGTAAATTCACATAATCACCTCTGACTGTCCAATTAAAGTTAATATACATGATAAATTGCTACAACTGCTACTGCAGAGAGTGGAAGTTGAATTTGAGTGGTTTGCATATCTATTATCCTCTACTCAACTGCAGGCTACCTAGAGAAGCAGTGCAAAATTTAGCACAAAATAACTTAAAGGTTTTGTGATAAACCACCAGTTAAAAATAGGCCTTGGACTTTGGAAAGCAGTATGGAGGTTCCTCAAAAGACTCCCCTCATGACCCAGCAATCACACTTTTGGTTTCCCTTATTTGCATAACTAGTATATGTCTAGGACAAGCAGAAAAGATCAATAGCTATGTACACATGACCATATAAGATGATGCTAAGTGAAATGAACCCCAAGATAGGAACACAAGTGGTTTTATCTTCCTTGCTTTTGTTTTTAATGTATTTATACTGTACTATGTGATTTTTTTTGTTTCTTTTGTATGTTCTTCCCCCTGTATAACCCCTGTTTTCACTGTATTGGATTCTGGTGCTCTGCATCTTGTATATACATTTTTCTAATTTGGGGAGGGCAAGGGAAATAACAAAATGCTGAAATAAGGATACAGGTTGATCCATTGTAACAATGAGCTGTACAAGACACTATGTTGAAAACGAACTTTACAACTTTGGGTGGGGTGAGGGGAGGGAGGATTCGGCAAGGTTGGGAGGGAAGGGATGGTAGAGGGAAAAGTGAAGAAGAGGTAGCAATGCTCATTAGGAAATATACTCATTACCTTACTCGTGTAACTGCAGTCCCTCTGTACAGTTTCTTTACAATAGAAAATATATAACAAAAAATAGGGGTTGGATGGTAGTTCAGTGGTAGACTTTTCTTCTTGGGCTGGCCTAGTATCTCAGACCTCCCAATCTCAGCCTCCGCTAGAAAGCTGAACTCTAGAGGATCACAGTTTGAGACCAACTGGGTTCAGAAAAGTTCATGAGACTTTCTCAAACCATAGCTTGAATATCTGTCGTCCTAAACTATGTGAGAGGGAGAGATTAGGAGGAATTGAGATTCTAGGCCAGCCCAGTCAGAAGAGTCTTCAAGATAGAATCTCAGTGAAAAGATGCTGGGTGTGTTGGCATGCGTTTTAGTCAAAACTGGGCTACTTAGTAGGTCTAGGCCACCCTGGACTACGTAGGGAGATCCTGTCTCAAGAAAACGCAAAAAGAAAAGGAGGGGTGAAGGGAAGAAAGAAGGAAGATAGGTACGTTAGAGTAAGGCTGGGGTGTCTCTGAT